GGCACCTGCTCCCGGGGGCCCCCGCCCTCTGCCCTCCCAGTCCAGCCGAGGCCGCCGTCTGTTTCACCACGTTGGTGATGGAGGAGAAGAATCCCCCCGCTGACTGTCCGCTATGTCTCCGGTCCGGTCCGGTGGGTGGGGGTGGCTGGGGGGGTTCGGGTCGCTGCAGGTCGGTCATGTAGCCATTGGGAAGGTTGGCGATGAAGCTGCTGTCCGACAGCCGGCGCCGGAGGAAATTCATGGCGGAAGATCAGCCGGGGATGAGGAGGATGGAGACGGGCTGCACGGCTCTGGATGGGAGAGATGGAGAGGACAGCCGCTTCCTGCTGCCTCCTCTACTGAATGATTCTTCCCGGGGGCTGTCAGAGGCAGGGAGGAGGAGCCGCTCAGTCTGCAGTGATACCTGACCCCCCCACAGCCACAACACCGAGGATGCTCAGGGTACCACCGAGTGGAGGATGCTCAGGGTACCACCGAGTGGGGGATGCTCAGGGGACCACCGAGTGGAGGATGCTTAGGGTACCACTGTGTGAAACATGCCTTAGGATTTGCACTGTGTGAAGGATGCTCAGGGTACAACCAAGTGCAAGATGCTCAGGGTACCACCGTGTGAAAGATGCTTAGTGTACCACCGAGTGGAAGATGCTCAGTGTACCACTGTGTGAAAGATGCTCAGGCTACCAATGTGTGAAGGATGCTCAGGGTACCACTGTGTGAAGGATGTTCAGGTTACCACTGTGTGAAGGATGCTCAGGGTACCACTGTGTGGAGGATGCTCAAGGTACCACTGTGTGAAATATGATCAGGGTACCACTGTGTGAAGGATGCTCAGGGTACCACCAAGTGCAGGATGCTCAGGGTACAACCGTGTGGAGGATGTTCAGGGTACCACCAAGTGCAGGATGCTCAGGCTACCACCAAGTGCAGGATGCTCAGGGTACCACTGTGTGAAAGATGCTTAGGGTACCACTGAGTGCAGGATGCTCAGGTTACCACTGAGTGGAGGATGTCCAAGTTACCACCAAGTGGCGGATGCTCGGGTCACCACTGTGTGAAGAATGCTCAGGGTACCACTGAGTGCAGGATGCTCAGGTTACCACTGAGTGGAGGATGTTCAGGGTACCACCGAGTGGAAGATGCTCAGGGTACCACTGTGGGAAGGATGCTCAGGGTACCACTGTGTGGAAGATGCTGTGCTCCGGGGACCACTGTATGGAAGATGTTGTTCTCAGGGGACCACTGTGTGGAAGTTGTTGTGCTCAGAGTACCACTGTGTGGAAAATTATATGCTTAGTGTACCACTGTGTGGAAGAAGCTGTGCTCAGGGAACCACTGTGTGGAAGATGCTGTGCTCAGGGTACCACTGTGTGGAAAATTATATGCTTAGTGTACCACTGTGTGGAAGATGCTGTGCACAGGGTACCACTGTGTGTAAGATGCTGTGCTCAGGGTACCACTGTGTGGAAGATGCTGTGCTCAGGGTACCACTGTGTGGAAGATGCTGTGCTCAGGGTACCACTGTATGGAAGATCCTGTGTTCAGAGTTCCACTGTGTGGAAGATGCTGTGCCCAGGGTACCACTGTGTGGAAGATGCTGTGCTCAGGGTACCACTGTGTGGAAGATGCTGTGCTAAGGGTACCACTGTGTGGAAGATGATGTGCTCAGGGTACCACTGTGTGGAAGATGCTGTGCTCAGACTTCCACTGTGTGGAAGATGCTGTACTTAGGGGACCACTGTGTGGAAGATGCTGTGCTCAGGGTACCACTGTGTGGAAGATGCTGTGCTCAGTGTACCACTGTGTGGAAGATGCTGTGCACAGGGTACCACTGTGTGGAAGATGCTGTGCTCAGAGTACCACTGTGCGGAAGATGCTGTGCTCGGGTGTCCACTGTGATGAAGATGCTGTGCACAGGGGACCACT